AAGAATTTGCTCAATTGATGTTAGAGGTGAGTTGCTTTTATTTATTTAATTTATGAGGATACCTTGGTGGAGACGTGGTCAAGCTGTGTGCCCTGTACTTGGAAAGTGGTTGGTTTGTATGCCCCATTTTGGAGGGAAAAGATTAGACAGTCTAAAACAAGCATGTCGCAAAAGGTTGCTAATTAGGTATTTGCTTAAAGCTATATTTCTTTTTAAGTATTCAAAAACAGGAATGTTCCAAGCCTATTTTAAAAAAATATAAAATTCTATAAAAATGCTCTAAAATATTCCATAAATTTCTGTTTTATCAAAATATAAAACTGTTTTAAAACTATTTCTTTAATGATCAAAATATAAGAACATTTCCAAAATATTCTTCTTTTTCTTCTTCTGCATTTATCCCAAGATGTAACTGCGTTGTGTCCATTTACAGCAAGGCTGCAATATTTGCATCTTTCGGCCAAGACATCCAACTTATACGGGCATTTGTTGACCGGGTTAGTCTTTCCGGTTAGTTATAAACTATTTTTTTTTAAATGTATCAAAAGAAACAAACGTTTAAAACTTTTATTTTGTTTAATTATCAAGATATAAGCAAGTTTAAAAAATATTGTTTAAAATATCTAGATAAAAGAATATTTCAACACTATTTAAATAATCAAAAAAAAATTTTTTGAATTATTAAAATATAAGAATGTTTAAAAAATATTTTTACACAATTATCAAAAAAGAATGAACAAAAGGCAATTTTTTTTCTTGTAAATTATCAAAAAATAAAACTTTCAAAAATACAACTTGTATTTCTTTTAAATATTAAACTATACAAATGTTTCAAAGCTATATTTTTTTTTAATTATAAAAATATAAGATCATTTCAAAACCAGACAATCATCAGCAAACAACAGCTTCATCTGAAAACCGATACCATAGAGAAACTTTTCTATGTAGTGTAGGGAGAAAAAGGTGGGAAAGGGAGTGGGGGGTGTCATTTTACACTTCTCTTCTTCTTCTTCTTCACTTCATCTTTTACCGCTGTGGGTGTCGAGGGAGATATAAGGTTCTGTCTCTAGCTCTTCTGGCCGCCTCGACCATGGCACATCGTGCTGTTGTAGATTTTCTCTGATGTTATCCTTCCATCTTGTTCTTGGTCTACCTCGTGCTCTACGTCCTTCTTCTCTTTCCATGTATGCTTTGTATGTTATGGTGTCACAAGGCATTCTCTCTAAGTGGGCAAACCATTTCACTTTCTGTCTTTGTATGTAATTTAGAATTGGTTCTGTGCCGACTTTTTCTCTTATAATTTCATTCCTGATCTTATCTCTTATGGTCACTCCCACAGCCCTTCTCAGACATGCATTTTACACTTGAGACATTAAATACAAATAATGGAGAAAACTAAGCAACAATTAAATTCATAACCTGTTTAAATCACTGATAATTACTGGTATCACATCACACATCAATCGGCAGGTTCTCTATTGAACACTGCTCTCGTCACAGCATGCCTGAAAGTCTCTTTCTCTAGCCAATTTGAGTCGAGAATGAGTGTGTGTGTGAATCTGAGAATTGAATCCACCACGAGGCCTGAAGCAGCCATTACTATTTGGCTACAGTATGTGTCGAGATGGATGTCCACAGGACGTCTGGCCAATGTTTATACTGGATGTTTTAACTCAAAAGTTTATCGTACCAGCCATTGTCTATGAACTTGGGATGCATGCAGAGTGATTCATTGGGTGTAGTATCTGCTATGTGTGCTATGTTGAACTGTGCTCTCCAGTCACAACTCTAGACAACAGATTAGTAACAGAGGACAGAGACAGCCTGGAACAGACAAAAATTGCACTGTATGTTAAGCCTTGTGTTCCAGTCTGTCTATTGTCACCTGCTGCATGTAGTTTGTCACTTCTGTGTGTGTACATTACTGTGTACTGGGACAATTTCAGTACCAGTCCATCTGTATATGTTGCTGGGTCAAATATTGAGAAGTACATTGCAATAATGTTCAAGCAGACCTACAAACACCTGCAGTCACCAAATGGAAAGAGAAGGCCAATCACAGAGACGAACAGAGGCGGGTGATATCCGCAGCAATGAACCTCAAGGGTTCAGAATGCTGAAGATGAAGGATTTATGGATAAATGTTCAGTGCCATTTTTATGAACTGTGTAGGTTGGAATGTTTATTTTAGGCTCCTTGCCTCACACAAAAATCCCAGCACCTTATAGAGGATTGTTCCTCTTCGGAGCCTGCACTGACTGGAAATTCCGGCGAGAATTTCTGCTCATTTGTCCTCTTCTGGATTTTAGTCTTGTTTCACAACTAGTTTTGTGTGCACATCCACTTTACAAATTTAGTTTATTCGTAAGCAGACTGTTGCCTCTCAGGCAGATGCACTCCAACTTTGAAGAAAACACCCCTTAGTTAACTTTTACGCCGTACTTGTTAAGGGGGCACTAGATCTTTTCTTATTTCCCCCAAAGTGAGGCTCTTCTTCTTTACCTCTCCTCCTCCTACTTCTTCTTCTCCTAGTTCTAGAGCATTCTAAGACACTTTGTGACTGGCTTTCTTTTTCCAGCTGGTGACTTTATGTGTTGTAGGTCTGTTTGTACATTAGCTCTCCACCATCGTCTTGGTATGCCTCATGGTTTTACTCCCATTCAATGCAAGATACCATCAGGTACTGTCTCTACACTGAAGTTGGTTGCCATGGATCCCCAACACACCCTGCCTCTCATCTTGGTAGTATATAAATGCACTTTAGAAACAAAGGCTGCAACTTAGATATTTCTTCTTCTACACTCTACCTTAAAATAGTGGTTGGCATATTGTGTTGTTTACATCATCATCATCACCATGTAGTAGGTCCCTTGCAGAATGTTGCTCTCATCACGGTCTGCCTGAAAGAAACACGGTCTCTCGCAAGCTCTAACACCTTGTGTACTTTCATTCAAGGAGTCATTTATATCCGGTGCTCAACTTCGTGCTGGTCGACACCTGCCCCTTCTTCCTTGTACCATGCCTTCTGCTATTTATTTTTCTAATCCGCTATGGCGCTTGATATGACCAAAATATTTTATCTTCCGAAATGTTTACCTTTCAGCTCAATACATCTGATTTAAAACATTTGTATATTTTTATAATTTAAAAAAAAAAAGTTTTGAAACATTTTTATATTTGGATAACTTTGTTGTGAATTTTTGGGGAACATTCTTATATTTGGATAATTTCTTTATTTTTGAGGCGGTGGATAGTTTTTTGGTGGTGTTCACACAGCAGGGCAAAGTGCTTTTTGTATCTGACAGTGTCACCTCACTACTTGGACATCTGCCTGTGAGTATACTCAGTTACAGTTACAGAACCAGTTTAATAAGCCATGAATTATGTTATGTATACCTTCAACTGGTCTGTGAGTTAGGCATAGTTCAGAGTGAACAGCCAGAGAGAGAGAGAGAGAGAGAGAGAGAGAGAGAGAGAGAGAGAGAGAGAGAGAGAGAGAGAGAGAGGGACAAGACAGAGAGAGAGACAGAGAGAGAGAAGGAGAAAGCAGTTAATCTTCCTTGTGGAGACGGCACTTGAATGATTGGTTGAATCTTTGATTAATTGACAGAATGATTGATTATTGCATTTGAAGGTTAGACGCAGCAATTCTTTCTCTCTGTCTGTCTTTCTATCTCTCTTTCTATCTCTCTCTTTCTGTGTCTCTTTTTGGCTTGGTCTCTCTATTTCTGTCTTGTCTATCTATCTCTATCTCTATCTGCTTATCTCTCTCTGATTCTGTGTCTCTCTCTTTCTGTCTCTGTCCCTCTCTGATTAAGTATGTCTGTCTCTGTCTTGTTCCTGGACAAATATATTTGAGCAATTTATTGTCTGGCATATTTGGCTGTATCTCTTTAGGTGCATTATTGTAGATTTAAGTCAACTTATCGTGTAGCACAAAAATGGAATCCTGTTCACTAAAATACACAAATCACATTTTCAAGTAACGCTGTGCATCTTTCTGTTGGAGAGGCAATAAATTGTGTTTGTAGTAGTGCACTTGATGAGGTAGAACAAAATATACCAGGCAGTAAATTGTGCAGTGTATTGTTTCTGACAGCATTATTGAAATTTGCAACATGTCCTTTTTCTTCTCCTCCTCCTTCTTCTTCCTCCTCCTCCTCTTCTTTCTTTTCTTCTTCCTCCTCCTCTTCTTCTTCCTCTTCATCCTCTTCCTCCTCCTCTTCCTTCTCTTTCTATTCATCTTCTTCTTCTTCCACTGTCTGCTTTCTCAGCATCTCACACTCTCGTAAACTGTTCAAATTAAACTCAAAGTGCACTCCCACTAATATTTTCACATACTGTACACTCCCACAAATATTTTCACATACTGTACACTCCCACAAATATTTTCACATACTGCACACTCCCACAAATATTTTCACACAAAGATTACTCATGCAAATACAAAGTACCTCCCCCCTCCCTCTTCCCCTTCCAACAATGTTCATACAAAGTATATTCACAGAATGGGCACTCACAAATATTTCACAGAAAGTACACTCATGCACATTTGACTCAGTGTGTCCTAATACCCTTGAATATTTCAAGGATATGGTCTCCTAGGATCCCCATATGGGATCCAGGACCCTGTTTTATGGAGAGGGAGGGGGGGGATAGACCCACTGCCCTCCCACCCTCACAGGCATGTCATAGAAAGTGACTAAATGCGATATGTCTCTCAGAGTCAGAGACATCTGCCTGAGAGGTGAGGAACCAACACTCTGCAAAGAAATTAGCGAGATCTGTAAAATAGATGTGCACACAAAACTCACAAGTTTTGGAACAAGACTAAAGTCCAGAAGTGGATGAACAACCAAAACTTTCAGCCAGAGTTTACAGCCAGTGAACGCTAAGAAGAAGAAGAAGAAGAAATCTTTTGGGATACCTGTATGGAAAAACAAGTCAATAAAATACTTAAGTTGTTTTTGTTCTTAATGTTATCCTCCTGTTTGTTTCAGAGTGATCTGATTAACCATTCCCTTTATGATGTCATTCACGAGGATGACCGCCTCAAGTTTTTTAATTTGTTATCCAAATTTCAGCCTCAGGGAGCTCATGGTGAGTTTGCTTCAGGATAAACTTAATGTCATATAATCCCTACCTGGTCTGGACTTAGGTTACTTCATAACCACTGTTGAGTATTGAGCTAACAACTAACACATTACAGCATTCAAGACACTCCCATAAGTACCTCTGTCTTCATCTTCAGCTGCCAGTGAAGAGTGTGTAACCATTGGGGCCCAGTATAAGCTTGCGGTTGAACAGGTCATACAGGGTTTGTAGATGTAGGATTCCCATCCTTGAGGTGGGACTGCAGACAGAAATCCTTGAGGGGACAAACAGTAGCAATTTAATGTAACAAAAGTAAAAGATACTTTTGTGCCATTGGCGCATTGGGCATGTGGTACTAGGCCAATATTTTGATAGACCAGTTGGCACATAATAAATGATGTAGCCAGCATCTGTCAGCATCGCACCCACTGTCTTTACTTCCCAGATTTCCTGGTATCTTTTTTAGCTAGGGCTAACCTGGTAATCAGGCTCTCATTTAAAGAAGTTAACTTCTGATGCCCACTCTGTAATCATCATCATCCTTTCGTGCCATTATATGTCACATATCGCTCCCAGTCTATTCCTTTATCCCATTCTGTCCTGTTTAGTCATTTTTAGTGTCATGGATGGAATCTAGTCTGACACTTCTAGTCTCTCTCATCAGCATTTGTTTTAGGATTTCTCTTGGATGTCCTCATCTCAGTCCATTTTGTTTCTCAGTTCAGTGCCTGTTTGGTGATTATCTGGTCATTTCTTCCCAGTATGTGGCCAATATAGCATCTTATGTTTTCTTATAACTTTTCATAACAGATGTTCACCTTTCTTAAATTCATCCATTTTAATTTTTGTTAGTTTCCTCAGCTGAGAACAATATAACTAGAATGTCTTTACACTGGAACCCACAGGGGCATAGAAAAAAAGGAAGACCAAAAAACACACAGAGAAGGGAGCTAGAGAGTGAAGAAAAAGAGATGGGGAGAGCTGCATGTGATAGCGAAGGATAGAACGGCTTGGCATGAGTTGGTTGAGGGCCCTGCTCCATTGGGGGCTAGAAAGGCAGAACAAGAAAAAGAAGTTTCCTCAGACATTAGTTATTGGAAACCACTCTAGACCAAGAGGACATTGTTGATCTGTTATTCTCTTTTAGATGATGGTACTTTATCTTTCACTGGCCATTTGAGGAGGGGCTCGATGGATCCCAGTGAGCCAGCCATCTATGAGTATGTGAAAGTGTTTGGCACATCACAGATGGTAGACATAGAAGGTAAGCTGGACTGTGAGAGTTGACTGTTTGACAGTGATGTGAAAGTGTTTGGCACATCACAGATGGTATGTGAGGTAAGCTGGGCTGTGAGAGTTGACTGTTTTGCACATCACAGATGTTTGGCACATCACATAGAAGGTAATTTGGCTGTGAGAGTTGACTGTGTGACAGTGATGTGAAGTGTTTGGCACATCACAGATGGTGACATAGAAGGTAAGTTGGCTGTGAGAGTTGACTGTGTGACAGTGGTGAAAGTGTTTGGTACATCAGAGATGGTAGACATAGAAGTAAGTTGGCTGTGAGAGTTGACTGTGGACATTGATGTGAGAGTTTGGCACATCACAGATGGTATGACATAGAAGGTAAGTTGGCTGTGAGAGTTGACTGTGACAGTGATGTGAAAGTGTTTGGCACATCACAGATGGTAGACATAGAAGGTAAGTTGGCTGTGAGAGTTGACTGTGTGACAGTGATGTGAAAGTGTTTGGTACATCACAGATGGTAGACATAGAAGGTAAGTTGGCTGTGAGAGTTGACTGTGTGACAGAGATGTGAAAGTGTTTGGTACATCACAGATGGTAGACATAGAAGGTAAGTTGGCTGTGAGAGTTGACTGTGTGACATTGATGTGAAAGTGTTTGGCACATCACAGATGGTAGACATAGAAGGTAAGTTGGCTGTGAGAGTTGACTGTGTGACAGTGATGTGAAAGTGTTTGGCACATCACAGATGGTAGACATAGAAGGTAAGTTGGCTGTGAGAGTTGACTGTGTGACATTGATGTGAAAGTGTTTGGCACATCACAGATGGTAGACATAGAAGGTAAGTTGGCTGTGAGAGTTGACTGTGTGACAGTGATGTGAAAGTGTTTGGCACATCACAGATGGCTGTAGACATAGAATTGGTAAGTTGGCACATCACAAATGGAGAGAGGTAAGTGCTGACAGTTGATGTTGAAAGTGTTTGCACATCACAGATGGTAGACATAGAAGGTAAGTTGGCTGTGAGAGTTGACTGTGTGACAGAGATGTGAAAGTGTTTGGTACATCACAGATGGTAGACATAGAAGGTAAGTTGGCTGTGAGAGTTGACTGTGTGACAGAGATGTGAAAGTGTTTGGTACATCACAGATGGTAGACATAGAAGGTAAGTTGGCTGTGAGAGTTGACTGTTTGACAGAGATGTGAAAGTGTTTGGCACATCACAGATGGTAGACATAGAAGGTAAGTTGGCTGTGAGAGTTGACTGTTTGACAGAGATGTGAAAGTGTTTGGTACATCACAGATGGTAGACATAGAAGGTAAGTTGGCTGTGAGAGTTGACTGTTTGACAGAGATGTGAAGTGTTTGGCACATCACAGATGGTAGACATAGAAGGTAAGTTGGCTGTGAGAGTTGACTGTGTGACAGAGATGTGAAAGTGTTTGGCACATCACAGATGGTAGACATAGAGGTAAGCTGTGTAGAGTTGACTGTGAGAGATGTGACTGTTTGTACATCACATGGTAGACATGTAAAAGTTGGCTGTTTGACTGTGTCACAGAGATGGTAGTGTTTGGCATACAGATGGGTAGAAGGTAAGTGGCTGTGAGAGTTGACTGTGTGACAGAGATATGAAAGTGTTTGGTACATCACAGATAGTAGACATAGAAGGTAAGTTGGCTGTGAGAGTTGACTGTTTGACAGAGATATGAAAGTGTCTGGCACATCACAGATGGTAGACATAGATGGTAAGTTGGCTGTGAGAGTTGACTGTGACAGTGATGTGTAAGTTTTTGGCACATCACAGATGGTAGACATAGAAGGTAAGTTGGCTGTGAGAGTTGACTGTGTGACAGAGATATGAAAGTGTTTGGTACATCACAGATAGTAGACATAGAAGGTAAGTTGGCTGTGAGAGTTGACTGTTTGACAGAGATATGAAAGTGTCTGGCACATCACAGATGGTAGACATAGAAGGTAAGTTGGCTGTGAGAGTTGACTGTGACAGTGATGTGTAAGTTTTTGGCACATCACAGATGGTAGACATAGAAGGTAAGTTGGATTGTGAGAATTGACTGTTTGATAGTGATGTGAATATAAAGTTTAAGCTCCTGTCACTGATGGTCAAAATGTTACTCTTTCTTTGCTAGCTTACCAAACACAAGTTTTTTTTGTACAACCTACACTATTTCGGAAAACTGGAACATTTATGTGATGACAGGAAAATTGTGAGAAAACAGAACGAATAGGCCCTGTCTTACATTCGGCTAGACACCCATCTTTCACACAGCATTTGTATTTTATCAATAAAGCGTGTATGTTATGTTCATATAAAAATATTTATATTGTGAATATCAAGCAAAAATAGAACAGCATGGGTGGTAAAATGTATGCGCACACCTGCGCCGGCACACAAAAACCCACATACACACGGAAACCACTAACTAACTTACACACACATATGCACCCACATACATACACACATATATACAGGCATATATATACATATATACACACACACACACACACATACATACATACAGGCATATACACATACACACACACACAGAAACACACAGAGAGAGAGAGAGAGAGAGAGAGAGAGAGAGAGAGAGAGAGAGAGACTGACAGCACAAGAATTTCAGTGACAGCTTTTTGTTATGGCGTGTAAGGGTGTTGGCACACAAACTGATATGGGCTGTTGAAGATTAAGTTGTGGAGAGTATGATTACCCATGCCACATGATGATGATGACAGATGGTTTTTGTAACTGCTTATGTCCACTTTGGTTCTTGCATTTACCATCTTCATTCACACTTAAAAATGTAATAGCACATTGTCTTGTGGTTTACAGCTAGGCTGCAATACCTGCATTACTCCGAAAAGAGTCAGGGGACAGTAGGTCTTTTCTTATTTCCTCTTAAAAATAGAGCCTTTAGCCAACACAGAGAATTAACCTTTTTGCCCTGTAAATGCTTAAAAAAAAGGGTGGGGGTCGTAAACCCTTAGGAATTTCTGGAAATAAATCCTTTAAAAAAAGTAACCATATTACATCGTTACTTATACATTTTAAAATAATATATTTATCAACCTTTTTTATTTTTTATTCAAATATTAAAGACATAAAAGGGTAATCAGTAAACATGAACCGAGTAAAGCATTAAATGGAGTACATTTTCTTGTGCATAAAAGACAAAATGTAACTTATGATTTTTGCCATGACCCTGTGATCTCTATCATCGAGGCTTATGGGAAAATTGTATATAAACTTGGCTTTAAAAAGCCATTGCAGTCATAAGGAACCCCCTAAAGGCTATTTTCAATTACTGTATTAATATTCTAGCCTGTTAAACACCGTGCAGGCACACATGGGATAAGTGGGGTTTAACTGCACTTTTCAAGAATGGGTCGCTGCAGACAGTGTCATATTTCAGTATTATCGGGGCTATCACAACCAGTAACTAGACTCAGCCTTCTCTGGGCTATATGGTTAAAGAGTTCAAATCTAGTCTTTCAAGAGGATTCAAAACCGATCAACAATTAAATCAGCTATACTTTATTTGCAGAACAAGTTGTGAACAGAGCGTTGTATTTGCAGAACAAGGTTGTCAACAGAGCATTTTATTTGCAGAACAAGATTGTCAACAGAGCGTTTTATTTGCAGAACAAGATTGTCAACAGAGCGTTTTATTTGCAGAACAAGATTGTCAACAGAGTGTTTTATTTGCAGAACAAGATTGTCAACAGAGCGTTTTATTTGCAGAACAAGATTGTGACCAGAGTGACTTCATGTGTGATGATGTCCCGAAGCAGTCCCTGTGTTTCTGCTGTACTGTTCGCCTGCAGACATCACATATCATTCGAGAAATGTCCATTGTTGATGAGACTACATGCGAATTCACTTCTCGCCATTCTCTAGAATGGAAGTTTCTATTTTTAGATCACAGGTATTTATTATTTTTCATTGAGTTTAATTTAATTCTGTATTTTTCAAACTTTAGATGAAGAAGTGTCAGCTCTGTGGCTAAGTCGATGCGAATGCTTCGTAAGGCCGGGATGCTGGGTTCGATCCCAACTGCGGGCCATGCACCTTGCGCTGGTTTCTACTGTGGTATCAGGGGAGGCGACTGCCCAGAAAGCAATGACAAACTACTGGATGTAAATTTGCCCAGAGAAACCACACAACAGCCAGGGGCTGTTGGGGTTGGTTCTGCAATGTCCTGTAAAGGATACGCAACTTACCAAGATGAAGAAGTGTACTTTGTGGGAGTGTGCAGGAGTGCATTTTTGTGTGAAAATGTATTTGAATTTACTTTGTAGGAGTTTACTTTCTATGAAATATTTGTGCCCATTCTGTGAGTATACTTTGTGTGATCATTGTTGGAAGGGGAGGGCGGAGGTGGTGGGGAGGGGGGTGGTACTTTGTATTTGCATGAGTAATCTTTGTGTGAAAATATTGTAGGTGTGTACAGTATGTGAAAATATTTGTGGGAGTGTACAGTGTGTGAAAATATTTGAGAGAGTGCACTTTGAGTTTAATTCGAACAGTTTATGAGAGTGTGTTTTGTGTGAACGCATTAGTTGAAGTGAAGTTTTTGTGCATCTGTTTGTATCTCTGTATACATTCATTTAGCTGCTTTTAAATCCATGCTGGTCCTAAACTGTTCTCAGAGCTCCACCAATCATTGGATACCTGCCTTTTGAGGTCCTTGGGACGTCAGGCTACGATTACTATCACCCTGATGATCTAGAGATTGTCTCCAAGTGCCATGAACAGTGTAAGTTGATGATGTATGGAAATGCAGTGTGAGAGCTTGGGAAAATAACAGGGGAATATAGTGTGGGAATACTGCATGGGCATACTTATAAGAATTCATTACAGCCATTTTCTTTAACTGACATCATAAGCGGTCTGTTCCCATCTTCAGCAACAAGTGCAGAGTTCCAGTTCTGGCGGCACCAGCACGAGTCTGATTGTATATTTGTCTTGCCTATCCCTTGAGTGTTGAGCGATGATGGCAAGATCCAGTTGATGATGTATGGGAATACAATGGAGGAATATGACATGGGGTATATAGTGCGGGAAAATGGCACAGGATAACTGCATTGGCATAAATTTATGAATCCAGTACAGCCATGTTCTTCAGCCTGTGTTTCTGGACCAGCAGCGGTGTAAAAAAAAAAAAGTTCAAGAACACTTCAGTAAAGTATGCAGTGAATAGCAACTGCTGTCTTCTTCCAATATTCATTTGTTTCTTTGGAGGCCCCTTAGCATTAACCCCACCAGACCTGAGGCCCTGAACCTAACTGTCCCTATAACCTGCGCTCTTGGGCACTAACACAAAAAAACCAACATAATGTACAAAAAAATTAGTTACATGCGAACAAGTGGTTAGAATAAGATAAACTTGGAGACATTGTAGAAAATAGGTTTACCTTTCATCCAGCGCCAATCTTCCACCTTTGTGTGCTAATCCACCTAGTAGGATCAGTCTTGTTTCATAAATTAAGCACCAGATGTTGCTGTTTGAGGGATACGCCCCCTTCTCTTACTATCAATCTAGTTTTAAATCTATAATTTTCATAATTCTCCTCCTCACTCTAGCTCTCACTGACTGTGTCACTTCAACTGGGAACGTATTCTTCATGAACGTATTCACAGTCTGAATTAACCAAAGTATCGATCACCTGTTGGACTGTGAAAAGCCTAGACCTACGTCACTTTCTTGTCAAAGCCGCTCGTTTCATTGAAAATTTTCCGAATTTTTTTCACATCAAACCACACAAAGAAATCTCAACACACGTGGGAAGTCATTTGCAATGACTAACAACGAAGTCTGATGGTGATTGGCTGGTTATTTTTAGTCTGTGACGCTTATTTTTCACGCACTATGTAAGTTCCCAGAAAATGGGGCCAGCAGTCTGGTAGGGTTAAGGCTGTTTTCTGCATGTAGTTTATATTTATAGCCTTCCCTTGGGCATTGGGTTGGGAGAGTCTGTTGGCATTGAAATACCAAAAACTCATCCCAGATGGGGATGAAAACAGGGGTGACTGCATCATCAAAATGGCATTTCCTGTACAGAACATTGCTGTTTTCTTGGCACATGCAGGTCTCTCTTTCTTAATTAACTAGTTCTGCAACCCTATGGGTGTTAGGTATCATTTACTGTACTTTAAAAAAAATGTTAAATGATCAACTAATAATGAGTTCATTCATTTGTCCCCAGACAGTATACTTTCTTTCTTCTGTCATTTCTCTCCTTTTAGTCCATGCTGATTGGCATTGATAATCATGTCTTTTAACGTCATTGCATCTCGTTTTTGTTTTATCATTATCCTCTTCATGTCGCTGTTGATACAAATGGCATTCACAACTAATCTGCATTGCTGCCTGTCTGCTGCTTTTCTGCCCATGGCATCCCATGTCATTTTGCATTCCTGCATTTCCATTTCTGCTGTCCTTCTTCAGGTTTCTTAGGTCCTCCTTGAATTCTTTTTCCTTTTCCTGTCTGCTGTCCAGCCAAAAGTGTCTTACCAAACTGTCAAGGGGCGTTCTGCACACATGTCTGAGCCATCTCCATCTTCTTTCTTTGATAGCATTGTCTAGTGATGAACATTTTGTTTTTCACCTCAGTTCTTCATTTTGTGAACTTGTTTGGCCAAAATATTTGTAGGATTCTGTAGTTTATGCTTAATTCCTGCTGTGATTTTTTTCTCCAAAACTCACTTGTATAGTAAGTTGTATTCCTAAAATATTGCCCTCGTTTATTCTGTGTTCTGCTTTATTTATCTTTAGTTGTTTATGACACTGATGGTCCTCTATGTTATGATGCCAAACTGTCCCGCATCTCTCTCTCTCTCTCTCTCTCTCTCTCTCTCTCTCTCTCTCTCTCTCTCTCTCTCTCTCTCTCTCTCTCTCTCTCTCTCTCTCTCTCTCTCTCTCTCCTCTCCCCTCCCTCCCTCCCTCCCTCCTCCTTCCTCTGACTCTTTCTTTAACTTTTCCTGTTGTCATGTCTTATCCATTTTCCCCCTTCTCACTGCAAGAACAAAGAATTCCTCCCCCCGCCCCCCCCCACCCTCTAAAATAAACTTAGTTGGGAGAGCATTAGATGTGAGCGCGTTAGACTGAAGACTTAATGTCCCTGGTTTAATCCCCAGTTCCAGCAATATCTAGTGCCCTGCAACATTTCCCAAGTGGTCTAGCTGCTAGGATTCCATGTTTTCACTGTGGCAACCAGGGTTTGATTCCAAGCTTTAAAATGTTTGTTAAAGGGTCTCCCTGGCGAAGTGGGGAAGCTGTTTACTTGACTCTCTGAGGGTCCTGGGCTCATTTCACAACTAAGTCTTTTAGTTAAGTGTAATTTTTCCAGAGACTCCTGGCGATCGCTGCTGGAATCACAGTGTTTGTGCTTTATGTGAGGCTCTCTGCAAGTAGCAAGCTATTCTGTGGAGAGAGACAGAGACATATGGCATAAAACCTGGCTATAAGAAGTCGATCCTCTCGACTTTAACCTTTAGAATGTATATTGTCTCCTGATGTGGGTAATCAGTTATGTTTGTGAATTAAGTTTAGTCAAGACATCTTTATAACATTTTCTCATCACATGTCTGCAGCTTCCACATATTGTTCACGAATTGGCTGACTGCTAAAAATTCACAGTTATGTACATTTCTTATATCTGAATTCTTAGTTTCTTTCTTTTTGTCTCACAGTGTTAGTGTTTTAATTTCTTTAGGCCAAGTGATTCCTACAAAATGAAGAATATTCTGTGCAATCTTTCTTTGTCAGTTGAGATGAGAATGAGAGTTCTCAAGAGCCACATAAATTCTTTCCTGACATGTGGAAGTGAGTCTTGGACAGTTAGAACCAGCAGTCTGCATACAAAAGCCAGATCTGTAACATGGATGTGCATGCAAAACTCACTATCTGGCACAAGACCAAACTTCAAAAGTGGACGAACAACCAGATCTTTCTGCCAGAGTTTACTGCCCGTGAAAAGGAAGAAGAAGAAGAAGACGCAGGTTAATCGCTAACTGTCTGAGAAGAAAATGTCATGTAAATGTGATGGCAAGAGTGATCCTGAAATCTCATGCGGTTGTTATAGCAGATTCTTCTTGGCCTGAGCTGGTCTTGCTGTAGTGCTGTAATGCCTGTGTCTCTGTAACACAGTATAACACTTATTGTCTGGAAAGATGGAAGGGTGCAAAACAGCCCCCCCATAGAATCCACCCATGACATCACATATTTCACTTTACATGTTTATCATCATCATCGTCATGTAGCATGTAAGTGAACATAGATTGCTATAGTTTGCTATATTATAGGATCACCAGGTCTTCGATCAGGTCTGTGTTTCTTTCTGATTATTTCCATGTGGCCAAGACAACACTGACATTTATCTCTTTGTCTCCCCTTATTCCTTTTCCATCAAGTTTGTGAGTTGTCAAATCATAGTGGACTAGGTATCTGTAAAGAAGGTACATTAAATGTTATTTGCTTAACCTGTTATGTAAACAATTTTAACATGTGTTATATTATCTAATGTGTTATATCACATAGTTAACCTTGTAAAATGTTAAACTTGTTGTGTCATATCTATAATCCATTTATCATATGTCTGGTCCTGTATGTTAAATATTTAATCCAGTGTGTCACATGTTTAACTCCAGCATACCATATTTCAAGTAAGAACACCATATATTTTTGGAAAAAATTAGGCTGGATTTGAACCTACAGCCTTTGGGCCCGAGGTAAGTGTCTAGCCCCTACACTACGGCTGCTCCCAGTGACTTTAGTTCCTGTGTTGACCCAGCCTGAAATGGGTGCCAGCGAAAGTCCTGGGAAGTAAAGAAGGTCGACATGATGTTGACCACATCACCCACAGAGTGCTAATTGGTCTATAAAATATAACTCTGGCCCTATATGCCCAGTATGTCTAAAGACAGGGATAAGGATCCTTTACTTTATATCATATATTTAACCCACAATATCATATATTTAACCTAGAATATCATATATTTAACCCAGAATATCATATATTTAACCCAGAATATCATATATTATCATATATTTAACCTAGAATATTATATATTTAACCTAGAATATCATATATTTAACCCAGAATATAGAATATTATAACCAGAATATCATATATTTAACCCAGAATATCATATATTTAACCCAGAATTATTTAACCAGAAATAACATAATTTAACCCAGAACTATCATATATTTAACCCATCATAATATCATATATTTAACCCAGAATATCATATATTTAACCCCATATTATTTACCCAGAATATCATATATTTAACCCCAGAATAATCATATATTTAACCAGAATATCATATATTTAACCTAATATATCATATATTTAACCCAGAATATCATATATTTAACCCAGAATATCATATATTTATACCATAATATTTAACCAGAAATACCATATATTTAACCCAGAATATAACCCCATATCATATTTAAACCAGAATATCATATATTTAACCCTAGAATATCATATATTTAAACCCATATATCATATATTTAACTAGAATATTCATATATATTTAACTAATCATATTAACCCAGAATATCATATATTTAACCTAGAATATCATATATTTAACCTAGAATATTATCATATATTTAACCTAGAATATCATATATTTAACCCAGAATATCATATATTTAACCCAGAATATCATATATTTAACCCAGAATATCATATATTTAACCCAGAATACCATATATTTAACCCAGAATATCATATATTTAACCCAGAATATCATATATTTAACCCAGAATATCATATATTTAACCCAGAATATCATATATTTAACCCAGAATACCATATATTTAACCCAGAATATCATATATTTAACCCAGAATATCATATATTTAACCCAGAATATCATATATTTAACCTAGAATATCATATATTTAACCTAATATATCATATATTTAACCCAGAATATCATATATTTAACCCAGAATATCATATATTTAACCTAGAATATCATATATTTAACCTAGAATATCATATATTTAACCGAGAATTTCATATATTTAACCCAGAATATCATATATTTAACCCAGAATATCATATATTTAACCCAGAATATCATATATTTAACCCAGAATATCATATATTTAACCCAGTAGGCAACATTTTAAACCCAGTATTCTATATATTTAAATAGTATGTCACATGTTCAACTCCAGTAAACCATATACTTAACTCTAGTATATCATATCTTTTACCAGTATACCATATATTTAATCTTGTTTATCAAATATTTAGAGCAGCGGCTGACCGTACGATTACAACTTTAATCTCTCATGTGAGAGACCTAAGTTTGATCCCCTTTAAGGTGATTGAGTTTTTCTGTCTGGGGCAAAATAAACATCCTAACTGGCACAGACAGTGGCGACAGCACTTGCCGTGTGGCCCTAAATTCTTAAAACCCTCCTTCATCACTGCCCCAAAATGGGTAAATAGATGTATTTAAAATCACACGTCAAATTTTTAAGCCAGAGTGTCACATGTCTAACTTAGTTTATGTTTAACCCATACATTTTACTCCAGTATACCCTGTAAAATCCCTGTATGTCACCTGTTCAACTCTAGTATACTATATGTTTAATCTAGTGTGTTACCTGTTTAATTTCAGTACACTATATGTTTAATCTAGTATGTTACCTGTTAAAGTCCAGTACACTATATGTTTAATCTAGTATGTTACCTGTTTAACTCCAGTAGACTATATGTTTAATCTAGTGTGTCACCTGTTTAACTCCAGTATACTTTATGTTTAACCCAGTATGTTACCTGTTTAATTCTAGTTTACTTTATTGTAAACGCAGTATGTTACTTGTTTGACACCAATATACTGTTTGTTTAACCCAAGTATTTAACACACTGCTTTTCCCCCTACTTTATAGTGATAATGATGGGCAAAGGAAGGTCAAACTGCTACCGGTTTTTAACCAAAGGTCAACAGTGGATCTGGTTACAAACCAGGTACTTTGTCACGTACCACCAGTGGAACTCCAAACCGGAGTTTATTGTTTGCACCAATACTGTTGTCGGGTAAGTGAAATTTAAGATCTATTTTAAAAAAAAGTTCTGAGAGATGAGTCAAGTAAAGCTATGCAAGTCTAAATAGATTGGAAAGTTGTATATGTGTAACGAATCTGCGAAACAAGATATGCGAAGTCATCAAAAAAATGTGCTGCACAGGCAATAGTGAAGCAGTAGGCAGTGAATGGCTGTTTTCTGCTTGAGTAAATTTGTGCACTCAAAACAGAATGGTGTTAAAAGCAGAAGAAATAACCTTTTAGTTGAACAAGTGTTTTGAAATTGTAGTCGATAAACACACATACAGATGGTTGTTCAAAGATTTATAGCAAGATTTGCTGATAAACAACCACCTGAGTATTTCCATGGTACTTTCCAGCTTCCCGAAATCAGTGTTAGACCATAGCAGTGATTATTGAAACTAATTTAATTACATTACTAGCACACTAAAAAAAATGTGTTCTGCATACAGAGTATAATAAGACTTTACAAACACCCTGAAAATATATCAGCTTAATAAGGATGCAAGTAAAGGTCTTTCTGAATGGTTCAAAGTCACAACTGGTGTCAGACAAGGATGTGTACTGTCACCATTACTTTTCATAACATACATGGATAAGATCACTGTAGAAGCAACCCAGGACTATAAACATTACTTTTTGCTGATGATCAAAGTACTGTATCCTGAATATGATCCCATGATCATCTGACTACTCTCAACAACAGCTGTTTACAACATACCTGAGAATCAGTACAGAAAAAACAGAAGTTATAGATCAGCAGAACACACAGGCCACTGAATATAAAGTTGGAAGTGTTCAAGCAAATCCAAAGAGTTGTCTTGCCTCAGAGGATGGAGGCCAGGCAGAATACAGAACAATGCTGTCACATAAACTATCACCTCTGATCTGTAACCATGAAGACCAAAAGACAATTGATATACACCATCTTCACAACACTCTGCTACCAGTGCCAGACTGGAATCAAAACCCATGAAAGAAAAGTAGAAGCCTCGAAAGAAATGTCTGGAGCAGCAGACAGGACAGGATTTAGACATTAGAAACACAGTAGTTTACAAATGTTGAAAGCAAAGAAGAATGTGGACAAAATGAAAAATGAATCACAAATTTTTTTTTCGGGGTGACGGTTATTGACAGTCACCTGCCAAAAGCGACAGATGCTGCCCGCCTTGCTTTGACAGGAACTTGCATCTCCCCACAACGCTAGCGGCATAGTGAAAAAGTAAGTAAAAGTTAAGGATGCAGAGGTGCTCAACCACATGTGCTAGTGCACTAGGACCAGGGCTGGGGCTGGTCAGGACCTACCTACATCTTCCCCATGGTCGTCCTGGAAACAGGTTCCCAAGGTACACTTGTGAATTCCTACTCCATACAGGTCATAATGAAGTGTGAATATTTATGGAACAATACAGTTTTAAAGAGATCTTAATGTTCAAACTCGATTTTCTAGAAACAAAGATTTAGCAGTTCTGCAACTTTGGCCTAGTGCCAGTGATACAGAACCTGAAATATATAAGTGTGTATATGGAACAATACAGGGCAATCAAAGGTATTTTCAGAAAAAAAGATTTAGAAGTTTACACTTTGGAGTACCAGTGATACAGAACCTGAAATATATAAAGGTATTTGCAAGGGTAATCAGTAAACAGGAAAAGAGTGAAGAATTAAAAGGAGTACATTCCCTGTGGTCGAATCATTCCATGACCTTAATCGCTGATGCTCAGGGGAAAATTTGACATCAGCTTGGCTATAATGCAGATGCACATAGAACCATGGAATTTAACTACACTTTTTGAGACTTGGCGGATACATCCGCATTTAGAGGGTTGTGTCATAACCTGAGGTGACTAAATTTAGCTTGCTTGGGGCAACAGGATTAAGAGCTGTAGAGAGCCAGTCTTAATGTTTGGAAGTTAATCATGGACAGTCAGGCGATAAGTGGAACATTATTTTGGGGCTGCAGATGTTTTGTTTTGTAGATGAATGTTGCAGACACCAGATAGATAAAAACAGTAATGATGCCTTTAAAGAAATGAACTTGTGAGAGAACTGATTACTGATACCAGGAAAAAGACAGTCTACATTCTTTGGTCATATACTGAGAATAGGAAAACTGGAATTTATTGTGACAGCGGGGAAAATAGGAAGGGAAGAAAATCAGATGGAGGCCAGGAGAAAAGGTGCTGTAACATGCACACGCATAGCATGCTAATATTGAACATTATGTGTAAGTTGAACATTATGTACACAAGGAACCTTATATACACGTAGAACATTATATACTAATGGAAAACATATAGACATCCAGGAATTATTTACATATGGAACATTGTATACTGGTAGAATATTATGTTCACATAGAACACTGTACTTACTTATGGAGCATTATGTCTACATGGAACAGTATATCTTCGTTTCAACATTATGTACACACAAAACACAGTATATTTACTCATGGACCATTATGTCCACATGGAGCATGTTAGAAAATATATTTCTATACTTACTCATGGACCATTATGTCCACATGGAACATTGTATACTTGTAGAACGTTATGTACTCATGAAGCATTAAATATTTGTATACTATATGCATGTGGATTATTATGTACATTGAGAACATTATGTACATATGGAACATACAGACAGTAATACATCTACATAAAAGACTCCATGCAGTGATTCAGGGTTTGCGTCATGTATATTATAATGTTTACATACACATAGGACATTGTATGCATATGGAATATTATGCTTGCCTACCTGGAATAATGTAATGTACTGTTGTCTTCATGAAGCTATGGGCATGTCAGAAGACAGTTGAGACAAGATATGGGCTATGTGGAAGGTGATGCTGTCAACACGACCGTCAACTCTACCACTAACAGTGGTGGTGCCGGCGGTGAATGTCTGGCTGATGCTGCTGCTGCTGCTTCCAGGGAGAGGAGACCGCAACAGGAGGGTCATGTGACATCTCTGAGCCAGTCAGAAAATTTGTCAATGGGTGGGCAGATTGTTCAGTCACCGGATGTTGCTTCAAGTAAGTCCCTTCAAGATTCTTAATGAGTAGGCATAATTTGTTTACTTCCTCCTTCTGTCCTTCTCTTCTTCTTTATCTCCTTCTTCTGCTGAATTTGCCCTCAAAAGGGCAGTTGACCCGTTGTGTTCTGGTTTACAGCTAGGTTGCGATATCTGTGCCTGTCAGCTCAACACATCGATTTTCAGCCATCTGCTATTTAGTTGTCTTTTATTACATACTTTTAGGGGGACAGTGACCATTTTCTTGTTTTTTCCAAAATGGGGTCCTGGGACCCACCAGGAAATATACCTAACAAACTAAGAGTTCTGGCTCAGTGGCTAGATCCTTGTCTGTTGATTAAAAGGTCATGGGTTTCAAATTCCATCGGGACAGATCGTTATAATTGACCTCGGACTCCTAGACTACCAAGGATAAGAAGAGTACAAGGTCAAGACGGGGGAAGTAAAGACAACTGGTATGTTGACCTCGTCACCCATCGAGGGCGACTATTCTGTTAAAAAATATATTTCTAGCATTGTTTACCTGATATACCATTTACTATACAGAACAAAATATTTTCCTCTATTATTCATTTTCAGTGTTATTAGAATATACTCTTTATGCATTAGTTAGATCCCACCTTTGGCCGGTTGGAATTCCAATAGAAACCAAGATGTATAGAATAGTGGAAGACATGCCTCGCACCACAGACTTCATAGAGGCATTTTGCTTTTTCATCTAAAAATCACTGGCATGTGGAAAAGAGGAAGTGTTTAAAGGCGAGCAGATCACCTTCATTTCACTGGGTTTTATCCTACATAGATCAATCTCCCAGTAAATATCTGATTTTGTCTAAATTTAAAAAAAAATTATTTTTTTTTAATTTTAATTTTTCCCTCTTCAAGATTGCAGTCTATAGGATTAAAATCTCAAGGATGAGAATCAAACAGCTACATATCCCAGACACCCGCCGTATAGCCATATAGCACAGTTATGTTGGGGCACCACAAAACGGTTACAAAGTAACTTGTAGTCAGGTGTGGGTGGGTTAAATCAGATATCTTATGATGATTCCAGGGACAAACTGATTGATTGATCTTAGCCCATTTATAATGTTGATAATATGTCTGCTTCAACTAGGTCGCAGATCATTTATAATGTTGATTATGTTGTGTCGACTCCACTGTGTCACAGAGTGTTTATAATGTTGATTATTGCTATTTCATTAGGTTACAGCATTTATGTAGTGTGTCTACACCATTTGGTCACACAGTGCTTCTAATGTTGATTAAGTACTAATCTATTAGGTCACAGATCACATTTGTAATGTTGATTAAGTGCTAATCTACTTGGTCACAGATGTAATGTTGATTTTGTTTATACTCCACTGTGTCACAGAGCACTGTTTATACTCCACTGTGTCACAGAGCACTGTTTATACTCCACTGTGTCACAGAGCACTGTTTATACTCCACTGTGTCAGAGAGCACTGTTTCTACTCCACTGTGTCACAGAGCACTGTTTATACTCCACTGTGTCAGAGAGCACTGTTTATACTCCACTGTGTCACAGAGCACTTTTTCTACTCCACTGTGTCACAGAGCACTGTTTATACTCCACTGTGTCACAGAGCACTGTTTATACTCCACTGTGACACAGAGCACGTATAATGTTCAATATACATCTACCCTACTGTGTCACAGAGCATGTATAATGCTGATTATACATCTACCCACTGTGTCCCCTCCCCCCTCCCAACACCTTCCTAGCGTCATATAACATTTATAATGTGCTTGTCTGCTAGATTATGTCATTTATAATGTTGATTATATGTCTGCTCTTTTAGATCGCTGAATATTTCCAGTGTTAATCATCTCTGCTCCGCTAGGTTACAGAACATTTAGAATGTTTATTATGTTCTCATCAGCCAGGTCACAGGACAATTTGTAACGATGATGCGTCTTCTCTGCTAGGTCAGCACTCCGACAGTGAGCGAACACAACAGCCCCACTCTACCAAGCAGGAGCACAACACTCGAAGGCATGTCAGTAGCCAGCTACAGTCCCTGCTGCAGCTTCACCTGCAGCGCTCACTGGCTGCCTCCTCAGCCGCATCCTCATCCCAGGCTGCACATACCATTAGCACCTCGACTACAGCGGCATCCACTGAACCTCTCAGACTCACCCTGACCTCATCTGCTTCACAAACTAGAGTAAGATTGTGTTATAATTTTAGAATCATTTCTTCTTCTCCTCTTCATCCTCCTGCATTTGCCTTTAAAAGGATGTTTGGCATGTCTATTGTGGTTTACAGTTAGGCTGTGATATCTGGCCTTTCGAGCCAACACATCCCATTTCAGCAAGTCCTTAATTAGTCGTCTTTTACAACATACTTGTTAACCCTTTTTGCCAGAGAAGAAAAAAAACGACACTTCCAGTTCGATCTAGTTACCCATAAATGTCATTTTTCTGACCTGTCTGTAGTGAAGATCACAGTAAACAAAGAGTTAATGAAACAAGTAACAAGATTCTCCTATCTAGGATACGTAGTAACAGATAATGGTAGAAGCGAAACATAAATCAAAAAGAGAAAAGGAATGGCTAAAACTGTCTTCAATAAGATGCACAAATTACTGACAGCTAGTGTATTATATTCAAACTAAGGACTGGGCACAACAGATTTCGTCAACATATGTTAAAATTTTTCAGTGTAGGAAATACGGACACGTGTCCCTGCAGCGTGGCACCCAAAAATGCTGAGCATGTGCTCCAACACTGTCAACTGTATGCTAACAACAGAGACACAATCTGGCCTGTTCCAACCACAATGAAGACAAAACTGTATGGTACATGAGAGGACAACCACAGGAGATGAACAATTTAAAAAATATAGATAAAACATGTTTAACAAATTTATTAATGACTTGTGTACAGTTTTAGTTTTTGTGTGGAGTTTTTGGGGGAACTCTGATGAGGCCATCACCTATATATATATATATATAAATATAAATATTTAGGTGATGGTCTTATTAAAATTCCCGGTAAATAAAATCCTCACCTGCACAGTCGTGGTGACAGCACTAGGCATTCGGCCGTAAGTCCTCAGGCTCAAAGACCCCCCTGCCTGCACCTTAAAAGTTCTATAATAAAGGCAGTAATTGGCAGTATTCCCAGTTCGAAAGGGTTCAGGAGCAATGGGTCTTCTATCCACCCTCACCCCTCCAGATAGGGCGCAGGAACCCACCTGGGGTTAGGATCATATAAAAGTAGGCATGTTTGTATTTCTCATCATTCTCCTCCTCCTGCTCGTCTTAAAAAAAGGGTGCTAGATGTTATGTCTTAAAAGTACATACTATACATTGGTCAGGAGGCGCCATGGTGTAGTGGCTAGACACTCATATGCGATCCCTGAAGTCGTAGGTTCCAATCCTAACAGAGCCAGACTTTTCACAAAAATCACTTTGGCTTCCATGTCGACCTAGCCTTTAATGGCTACAAGATAAAGTTTAGGGAAGTAAAGGTGGCTTCCATAATATTGACTGCATCACCCGGAGTGCCAATTATTCTGTAAAATTTCGGTCTAGCACTGTATGCCCAATCCGCCTGATGGTGTGGAAAGGGGTCCTTTATACATGTCAGTCAGTCAGGTGCCTTTGCCTTGATTGGCAACCGATCTAGAAGAGAGAAGCTCCAACAGGCAGACAAAGCTCTCTTCTTCTGATCTGGTAGCTTTTGCAGCATTCTTTATTCTAAACATATTAGTGTTACCTTTCCTTTGAAGTTATCAAGGTGGTCATAGTGAGGGATCGTCCTGCAGAGGCAACACTTGACATCTACAGTACTGCCCAGGCATTGTGCAGTGAAGAGAAGGAGCTTCATCCCTGGCCATGCTTCCTTATAATGGTAGTCTGGTAGTCCTAGTTTCAGCTTCATAGCAAACGGGTCACCCCATCTTTGCTCCGCTTCCATGCCAACGAGAAACACACAGAATGTTTATCACAGTCCCTTGTGGAAAGATTGACAGACTACTGTCTCAGCATCTAGCATACACTCCATTAAAGCATATGGTAGCCATCCAAAGTGCTAACGCAAACAGTCCGACATTAGAAATGCAGTTCATCATTGATGGTAACAGAAGTCACCAACAGATCTGCAGTTGCCCACGTGATCAATTTTAATCACATATGGGCACCACCAAAATTGCGACGACAGACATCGCGCCATTTTATGAATCTACAGTTCACACCACCACGTTGGTCACAGCCGAAAAAACATTCCAAATGAAATCTACAGCTCACAGTGTCACGCCATGCATTCAACTCAGAAGCTGGGCGACAAAACTATATCCAGTCTGCAAATGGAACAAAAATGCATCAGCCACCGTCCGGCAGAAGCAAAAAAATTTGCCTCAGCTCCAAAAACGGAGGCTCCTACCTAGCGTCCATTATAATACAACATAATACCATCATCTGGAATGATGGAGAGGTAACAGATAAGTGTTTGGCCCCGGAGAGAGTAATAATCTCTTGGCATCTTTGAGAGTGGGATATTCAAAGTGACGGCTGAGTGATTTTTTTTTTTTTTTTTTAAAAATTTTTTCAATTTGTGATGATTTTGCATGTTGTGCTTAACCACAAATGCAGAAGAAGAAGCAGCAGCATTAAATGTGCTTTGTATTAAACAGACTGGTGGGATTTCTATTGTATATACTGATCAAATTTTGCACTGCTCGACACTCATAGATAGTTGCTGATCATACAGAACCAATACTGAACTTTATAGGTATATAGGTAGACAACAAATCAAATTGTTTGGCCATGTAGCAAGATTGATGTCAGGCAGGGCATCACGGAGAGTAGTGTTATACAGATACAGCGTTAACAGAGCCGGAGGTCAACCACGCAGAAGATGGGCTGCAGAAGTATCAGAGACACTGAAAAGTACTTTATATGAAGTGAACAGAAGGACCCGTTCCAGAGATCTCTCTTCCTGTCCTGACACCGCGAGGCATTCCAGGAGTAGACAGATGAAGAAGGAGAAGCTAATCATACATAGTGGGTTGCTTGCAGATGAAGGAGAAGCTAATCATACATAGTGGGTTGCTTGCAAATGAAGAAGAAGAAGCTAATCATACATAGTGGGTTGCTTGCAGATGAAGGAGAAGCTAATCATACATATTGCAGATAGAGAAGCTAATCATACATAGTGGGTTGCTTGCAAATGAAGAAGAAGAAGCTAATCATACATAGTGGGTTGCTTGCAGATGAAGGAGAAGCTAATCATACATAGTGGGTTGCTTGCAGATGAAGGAGAAGCTAATCATACATAGTGGGTTGCTTGCAGATGAAGGAGAAGCTAATCATACATAGTGGGTTGCTTGCAAATGAAGAAGAAGAAGCTAATCATACATAGTGGGTTGCTTGCAGATGAAGAAGAAGAAGCTAATCATACATAGTGGGTGGCTTGCCACTGACAGATTTAAGTGTATGTGTAAGGTGAAACATTTGGATGTTGAATAAATTCTTCTTCTGCATTCACCCTTCTAAGGGTAGTTGATGCATTGTATTGTGGTTTACAGCTTTGCCGTGTTATCTGCAACCTTTGGACCAAGACATTTGATTTCATTAAACCGCTAATAAGTCACCTTTTTTAGGACATGCTTTTTTATTAAGGCTGGCATTGGGGCTGTCCTTGTTTACGCAGACATTTGACTTTGGAAACCCTCATGGGGATATCAGTCACTTGTGATGTTTTTTCCCCCCTCCAGGTAGCTTGCAGCTCTCACTCCACGCTAATGTCTGTTGGTCAACAGATAACCAGAAATCAGGGCAGAGTACTTCCCAGCCTGGTCCCTCTAATGACTGCCATGTCCACAAATCTGGAGCCTATGTCCACAAGTCAGAGGGTATGTTAAAAAAAAAAAACTATTATCTTCTTATTCTGCATCTGCCTTTAAAAGGGCAGTTCACGCATTAGGTTGCATTTTACAGCTGAACTGCGATAGCTGTCTGTACCTTTCGACCCAACACAACGGACTTCAGCAGAACCATAATTAGTCGCTTCTTACAACATGCTTGTTAGTGTCAGTGGTTTTGCTCTTTTTCCACCAAAAACACGAGGCCCTGAATCCACATGAAACTAAATAATCATCATCTTTATATAGCAGGTCCTTGGCAGAACATCACTGTCATCACAGTCTGCCAGAAAGAAACTCGGTCTCTCGCCAGCTCTCTCCGGCCTTGTATACTTTCATACTTAAGGAGTCACTTATATCTGGTGCTCATCTTCGAGTTGGTCAGCCCCTGCCCCTCCTTCATGGTACCATGCCTTCTGTTGTTATTTTTTAAAATCCCCTAGGGCACTTGCTGTGACTAAAACATTTCAGCTAAATGATAACTAACTATAAAGAATGCTGTGGTACCAGCTGCCACAGAGAGTGACACTGAAAAAATACAATGAACAAGGAGTGCAGGAAAGACCATGAAAAATATAGAATGACAGTTTGAAGAATAGCCTCAAAGAAAGGAAGATAGACATATGGAATGCATTATAAAGATCTTTAATCTCTCCCTTCCATGCTGTGGTACCAGAAGTGAACCAAGTAGCATCACTAGAGAGCGTTTTATTGTATTTCTTACTTGTAAACTGTGCCTCTCATAAACAGCTTTAATTGATAATTTTTTCTTTAGATTACAGTTAAGACTTGGCGTTTATTTTTTAAGACTTGGCTTTATTTATTTGTATTTAAGACTTGGCGTGTTATTCTTAAATTATAGTTAAGACTTAGTGTTGTTTTTTTATTTCTTCAAGCTGTATTTAAGGTGTAGTTAAAAAAATATTTTTTTTTTAAAAACCTTCACTATTTATTCTTCTTTTTTGTGTTCACCAGCTGTACACAGATCTGGCTTATTTGTATGCAGACTGTAAGTTCCTTGGTCAGATTTGCCTTTGCTACCATAGAACAGTAGTTGGCTCTCTTGTTCTCTGTTAATGCTGGTTTTTGGGTGGCATATTCCAAACCTGCCAATACCACACTTGGCTAACTGCTTTGGGCACAGGAGCCCTTCAGGGAGGGTTTTAGTCTTCTCCTGGGAGAGGGTGAAAAAACTGGAACACTTTAGGTTCTAGCAGGGCAGACAAGGCACTTAGCTTGGTTAGCTGCTGGTCTAGGCAGGATGCTCTGACAGATGGACACACAGAGCAAACATAATGTTGTTACCTTTCTTTCAGGTAAACAAAGGGAGTCTGATAGAGGGATTATGATTCAAGCACAACACATGGTCACAATACTACCCAGGCTTTGTGCTATGGAGAGGAGGAATTTCACCACTAGTCCTAATTTTCCATTGTCATAGGCTGTGATTTTATGTCTCTCTGTAGCATAATATAACACTGTCGTGTAAGAAGAAGAAAAAGTGCCAACAGCAAATCAGTGTCATTTTATCTTCAAGCATTTGTTTACGAAATTACAGTTAAAATCACATCTGCTGCATTCTTTTATTCTTGAACATTGATTCATGAAATTTAATTTGAATCAAATCTGTTATTTGAATCAAATCTGTTATTTGAATCAAATCTGTTATTTGAATCAAATCTGTTATTTGGATCAAATCTGTTATTTGAATCAAATCTGTTATTTGAATCAAATCTGTTATTTGAATCAAATCTGTTATTTGAATCAAATCTGTTGCAGCTGGTGAGCTCTGGACATTCCAACATGAATTGTCATTCGACTGCAATCATCTCTTCGCCTCTTACGTCGCCTGCCATCTGTACCGACCCCCATTCCACAGTAAGTTCTTACTCGTGTCGTTTGCCAATAATTTTGCGGGGCAGAGTCGCAGTGGCTAAGTGATAAAGGTTTTTTAGCCAGCGCTCCAAACTTTTGGGTTCATTTTCAGACTGTCGTTCAGTTAATGGGTGCAGTTTATGTGGAGAACCTGGGGGTTATGGCTGCAGCTATGGAGTTTTGTGTTTTGTATTGTGCTCGGCAGGCAACCAGCTGTTCTGCTGAAAGGTGGAGTTAGTAAACATGAACCGAGTGAAGCACTAAATAGAATACATTCTCATGGGGCTTCAAAAAATATATATATCAGGTAGCTAGCTGATCCGGTGACCTGTATTGATGATGCTTTTAGGAAAATATGCAGTTAACTTGGCTTTAAAGAAGCTTTTTAGTCAATAGAATAACCAGCTAAAATGCTGTTTTTAGTTACTGTATTTATATCCTGATCTCGTAAACGGTTGCGAAGATGCAAGTTCAGCCAGTAATGTTATCTGTGTGTCTTGTAAACACATCATCATAGACAATTTGGAAAAAGTGACATTTCCTGGAAATTTGGACATGCCCGTAAATGTTGGTTTTGTGGCCTCTCAAAGTGACAGAGTTATCAGATTCATTTTTCATATCCTTGCATCATTTAGTAAAAAGATAAATTGTATACAGAATTTGCACTGTTGTATACCTGTGAAACATGCACAATAGAAACTTAACCGGAATGAGAAAAGGTGAATTGAAATGTTGTACAGAACTTATACTGTTTTATACTCCTGAAGCACTTACTAATAAAAGAAGACATCAGTTGCTGTGAGAAGTACGATTACCATATAATGGACAGACCAAAGCTAGTCATTATTCTAAGCCAAAGACAGCCATTGCTGTGAGAAACACAATTACCGAATAATGGACAGACCAGAGCAAGTCATTACTATATGCCAAAGACATCAAATGCTGTGAGGGACACAATTACCATACAATGGACAGACAAGTCATTATTCTACGCCTTAGAACAGGACATAATCGACTTCACAGCCATTTGAAATTGGCGAATCTGCCATATGTACATGTGGATTAGCACCTGCGACAACAGATCATGTTCTCCAAGACTGTCCCAAATACAACATATCAAGGCAAAACCTTTGGCCAAGACAAACACCGGTGCAAGCTAAACTTTATAGGTCATTGATTGAATTACAACAGCCAGTCAAGTTCATACTAGAGACAACAATGCCGATATAGATAGTCTCTTTTAAGCAAATGGAAGAAGAAGAATTCGAAGCTGTGAGAAGAAGAAAAAAGTTAAAATGCTAAGCAGAATATTAAGTAAATGAACACACAATATATAATGCTTTAACTCCCCTTTTTCTCACTGCAAGAAATTTTTCCACTCCCCCTTTTCTCACTGCAAGAAATTTTTCCAGTCAGGGTTAACCTTAAGCCCAGCTCAGCAGTTCCTACATGAACAACTAGTCCACAAGTCAGAGCAGCTGCAGAGTGCCATCCAGCGGCAGCAGGAGGAGCTCAGGTTCATCAAGGAGCAGCTGGCTTACTCCCACGGTGGTGGTCAGATGGTCACCCAGCAACAGCATGTGCAGCAGCAGCAGCAACAGCAGCTACAGTCCCAGATACATCAGCAACAGCAGCATCAGCAACATCAGTATGTACTCCAGCAACGAGTTGGTAAGCTAATCCCCTTTTTCTGTGTTTGCCTTTAGGAAGGTGGTTGACACAGGTTGAGGTTTAAAGCTAGACTGTAAAATTTGGGCTCTTGGGCCCGACACATCCGATGTCAGCAAAGCTCTAGTTAGTTGCCTTGTACGACATGTTTATTAGCGGCAGTGGGTCTGTTCTTTCCCCCCCTCACAATAGGGGCCATGGAGCCCACACAGGATGTAAGTTAAATCCAGAACAGGGATGGGAAGGTCCTGAACCACGTGGGATAGTGTTAATGAGAAATGCTGTAATAATCTCACCAGATATACCAGTACATCTTTGGGTAGCTGATGAGAAATGCTGTAATAATCTCATCAGATAAACCAGTACATCTTTGGGTAGCTAATAAGAAATGCTGTAATCTCATGAGATAAACCAGTACATCTTTGGGTAGCTAATGAGAAATGCTGTAGTAATCTCATCAGATAAACCAGTACATCTTTGGGTAGCTAATGAGAAATGCTGTAGTAATCTCATCAGATAAACCAGTACATCTTTGGGTAGCTAATGAGAAATGCTGTAATAATCTCACCAGATATACCAGTTTATCTTTATGTAGTTAATGAGAAATGCTGTAATAATCTCATCAGATAAACCAGTACATCTTTGGGTAGCTAATGAGAAATGCTGTAATAATCTCATCAGATAAACCAGTACATCTTTGGGTAGCTAATGAGAAATGCTGTAGTAATCTTACAGATAAACAAGTACATCTTTAGGTAGCTAATGAGAAATGCTGTAGTAATCTTACAGATAAACAAGTACATCTTTAGGTAGCTAATGAGAAATGCTGTAGTAATCTCATCAGATAAACCAGTACATCTTTGGGTAGCTAATGAGAAATGCTGTAGTAATCTCATCAGATAAACCAGTACATCTTTAGGTAGCTAATGAGAAATGCTGTAGTAATCTCATCAGATAAACCAGTACATCTTTAGGTAGCTAATGAGAAATGCTGTAGTAATCTCATCAGATAAACCAGTACATCTTTGGGTAGCTAATGAGAAATGCTGTAGTAATCTCATCAAATAAAACAGTATATCTTTAGGTAGCTAATGAAAAATGCTGTAGTAATCTCATCAAATAAAACGGTATATCTTTGGGTAGCCAATGAGAAATGCTGTAGTAATCTTATCAAATAAAACAGTATATCTTTAGGTAGCTAATGAGAAATGCTGTAGTAATCTCCTCAAATAAAACAGTATATCTTCGGGTAACTAATGAGAAATGCTGTAATAATCTCATCAGATAAACAAGTACATCTTTAGGTAGCTAATGAGAAATGCTGTAGTAATCTCATCAAATAAAACAGTTTATCTTTTGGTAGCTAATGAGAAATGCTGTAGTAATCTCATCAAATAAAACAGTATATCTTTTGGTAGCTAATGAGAAATGCTGTAATAATCTCATCAAATAAAACAGTATATCTTTGGGTAGCTAATGAGAAATGCTTTAATAATCTCATCAGATAAACCAGTACATCTTTAGGTAGCTAATGAGAAATGCTGTAGTAATCTCATCAAATAAAACAGTTTATCTTTAGGTAGCTAATGATAAATGCTGTCGTAATCTCATCAAATAAAACAGTATATCTTTGGGTAGCTAATGAGAAATGCTGTAGTAATCTCATCAGATAAAACAGTATATCTTTAGGTAGCTAATGAGAAATGCTGTAATAATTTCATCAGATAAAACAGTATATCTTTGGATAGCTTATGAGAAATGCTGTAATAATCTCATCAAATAAAACAGTATATCTTTGGGTAGCTAATGAGAAATGCTGTAGTAATCTCATCAAATAAAACAGTATATCTTTGGGTAGCTAATGAGAAATGCTGTAGTAATCTCATCAGGTAAAAATGTAAATCTATAGGTAGCTAATGAGAAATGCTGTAATAATTTCATCATATAAAACAGTATATCTTTAGGTAGCTAATGAGAAATGCTGTAATAATCTCCTCAGATAAAACAGTATATCTTTGGATAGCTAATGAGAAATGCTGTAATAATCTCATCAGATAGATCAGTATATATTTGGGTAGCAGGAAAAGGCTATAATAATCTTATCAGATCCAATAGTGCATCTTTGGGTAGCCAAGGAAAAATGTTAGAATAACTTTACCAGATAATCTGATGCATTGTAAAATGTTAATGAGAAATGCCACGGTAATCCAACATACCTTTTTTAGGTTTGGGCTCCCAGTCGATGCTGTTCACCCCGATTAGCACCAGTGCTCAGTTTACCATGATGGGCACAAGCCCTAATCACATCTTCCTTTCACCCATCACGGAGGTGAGGATGGACCCACAGAGTCAGCAACATCAGCATCAACAGCAACAGCAGCAGCAGCGACAGACTCACATGCACTGTCCACAGAATCAGCAGCAAATTCTACTGCAGCATGATTCAGGTAGGTGGTCCCTATATTTAGCACACAGAAGATCCTGATGACCCCCCCCCCCCCCCCCCCTTTTCATTAACATTCTTCTGAGCTGATGGATGAAAGGAGTTGTTGAGTTAAGTTGAGAACTGACATCTTTGGTGTCTTTCATTTATTTGTTTCTAACATGTCTTTCAAGTCTGTACATGTGTCTCTTTTCATCCTGTCTTTCAAGTCTGTTTTATTATCTTTCATGTATTTCTTTTCAATATATGTTTATTGGCCTCATACGTCTCTTTCATATGTTTCTTTTTAACTTGTCTTTTAGATCTATTTTATTATCTTTCCTGTGTCTCTTTTTAACTTGTCTTTCAGATCTATTTTATTGTCTTTCATATATCTCTTTTTAATTTGTCTTTCAGGTATATTTTATTATCTTTTCTGTGTCTCTTTTTAATTTGTCTTTCAGATCTTTTTTTTATTATCTTTCATGTGCCTATTTTTAATGTATGTTTATATGCTTCACATGCCTCTTTTATGCATTTCTTTTTTGTCTTTTGGGTCTATTTTATTGTCTTTAAAGTGTTCCTATTCGTATTACTTTTTAGATGTGTTTTATTATCTTTTATGAGTTTCTTAGTGTCTCTTACACATGGCCTCTTACACATTGTCTCTTACACATTTCTCCCCAGGACGACCAGGCCAGGCCATGATGCTAGCTCCAACAAGCCCAGGCTCTCAGCTAACCCTGATCAGTTCCAGCCCCAACCAGATCTTCCTCTCCCCCACCAGCATGGAACTACTGCCTTCACCCCAACAGCCACAGCAGCAGTGCCAGCATCAAGAGCAATCCCTGCACTTCTTGGGTGTGCCACATTCTTCCTCCGACTGACACTCAGATGTCAGGAAATACATGTTCACTCTGTCTGCATATGAGCTATACTCTGTTTTAAAGCGAGTCTTGCCATCATTTCACGTGCATTTACCAATGAATATTTTGAAGGAAATTGCTGAAATTTTGCATGGAAACATTAAATCATTAGTTCATTGTGGGGAATGTATTTTTAGTGACATTTGACATCTGGTTTTCTGGTCATAGAACCCCTGATAATGTGGATATAGGTCGTATTTCATGGAAAAAAAAAAACAGTCAATTACGAAAGTTATGAAAAGACTGTGAATGCATAGAGAGTTGCTGAAGAAAATGAAAAAAAAAAGAAACAAGTGAACTGATTTAGCCATATTGAAAGACAACATTCTTATAAAAACCATACTGGAGGAAAAAGTTGAAGGCAAGCAAGAATCTCAGGAAAAAGTGTTAAATTCCTTTGACAGCCTAATGAGTTATCCAGAAGTTTTGAGACAGGTGGAATTAGCATAAACTTTGAAAAGAAATGGTCATCATTTTTGGCCAGATTATAAGAAGAAAAAAACGTAAACATGTTTTCTACACGCAGTAGAGAGATCCCAGGTTTGGCCAGTGGCATTCCAGTGGAATCCAGGCTGTGTGGAAACAGTTAAAGACATGCATCACACCACAAACTTCATAGAGGCAGTAGAGAGATGCTAGTGGCATTCCTGTGGAAACCAAACTGTTTGGAAACAGTTAAAGAGATGCATCACACCACAAACTTCATAGAGGCAGTAGAGAGATCCCAGGATTGGCCAGTGGCATTCCAGTGGAAACCAAGCTGTGTGGAAACATTTGAAGATGTGCATCACACCACAGACTTCATAGAGGCGTGTGGTCTTCTCATCAGAAAAATCACTGACAGGAGAACAAAAAAAGAAGAAGAAGAAGAAGAAGAAACAGTTTGTGACAAATGAAAACATTTATGGAAAGAGAAAGGTGAAAATGAGAGACGATCCATTGCAGCAATTTGCCATGCTCCTGCACAAACATGTGTGGATACGAACGTCTGACATAGGGAAACCCACATAACCCTTTGCGCTCCAATTCCCATTAAAAAAAAAAATATAAAAAATAAAAATAAATAAGCTTGCAGTTTATTTGCTGTTGCTGACTGGGTTGCCTTATTTGTATGTTGTAAAATAAAATACTGCCACATACTCCTCACTTGTTTAATAATTGCCTTGTTCATCGTATGACATTCTTGAGACCAATGAGATCAACGCCTTTTGTACTGACTTACTTATACAACCCTGTAGCTACATCAAAGTGCCATTTACATGTGTAATGTTTTTATGCTGCATATACTGTTGTTCTAACAGTGCAGTACATTGTTTCTTTGATTCCTTCCATACCATTGCTGTATTTTCTTTGATATAATTAACAAATTGCAAAGTAATTTGATATACAGTGGCCATAACATACTGTTATAGGTTTTTGGACTCTAATTAGTTTTACTCCAGGTTGAGTGCATAACTAACAAATTTGTGTTGTATGTACTGATTCATAACAAATTGCTTGAATTGATTCATATATTTTCATTGGACTATTTATTGTACCCAAGAGTATGGCTATATCAGAATACAGTAGAACCTCGCTTAACGAGCACCTCTCATAACGAGTAAAAGAAATTGTAAAAGAATGAATTGCTTAACGAGCGACGTTTTGCATAACGAGTGGCGAGGAGAGGGAAAGTCCCAGATTGTGCGCATTTTACATCAGTCTGTGTTTAGCACTCGTTCCAGTAGCATCGTAGTGTCGCTTGTGATCACACATTTTCTCAAACTTGTGTTAAATTGTGATATTTGTACATGAATCCTCCAGGCCTACAAGATGACGTCCCTGAAGAATTTAAGTTCATCAAGATCCAGTTTCTGCCTCCTAACATCACTCTGTTACTTCAGCCCATGGACCAGCAAATTATTTTCAACTTTAAGAAGCTCTACACTAAAGCTTTCTTCGAGCATTGTTTTCAGGTGACTAAAGGGACCAACCTCCCTCTCAAAGAGTATTGGAAAAATCACTTCCACATCGTTGCCTGCCACAAGATGATGGACAAGGCGTGAGAAGGGGTTACCAAGAGAACCCTAACTTCTGCTTGGAAGAAGCTTTGGCCGGAGAGCGTTGCCGATTTGTGACTTTGAGGGGTTCGAGACAGTGCCTGTGGAACCAGTAGTCAACGAGATTGTGTCTTTGGCCACTATCGTGGTATTGTAGGTGGATAACAGTGATATCGAAGAGCTTGTGGAACAGCACAGCCAAGAGCGGACGACCGAAGAGCTGATGGAGTTGCATTGTGTTTCACAGCAAACAGTTTTGGAGGAAAATTTGTCAGAGGGGGAGGAGGTAACAGAAAAGCAACAATCTTCTGGCGAAATAAGAGAAATGCTGAAAGCATCGGAAACTGTTGCTTTGCATCTCACATTGAGAAACATCACCCTAATAAGGAAGTGGCTATGCACGCTCCAAATTTATTTAATGATAATGCTATGTCGCATTTTCGCCAAATTTTGAAGCGTCGGCAAAAACAAATGTCTCTGGACATCTTTCTAGTAAAGAATAATTCGGTATGTATCATAATTATTGCAACTTTAAAAATTTTTTTTTTTTTTTTTTTAGCAAATCGAATTCCAATTCCAGGTGGGTTTGTTCTGCGTTTGAAGAAAAGATGAAGTTGATTCACTCTCCTTAACAATATATATATAATTTTCTTTAAATAATGGTTATACATAGCATTTTGAGAGTATTTTTTTTTAGCATGGGACGCATTATCGTATTTTACATTAATTTATATGAGAAAATTTGTTTCACTTAACGAGTTTGATTCTGGAACAAATTATGCTCGTTAAGCGAGGTTTCACTGTACTTAAATCTGGGAAGGCTAACCCGAACAAAAATTGCGGACAGAGGTCAGATTTGTCGGCTGAAAGGCACAGATATTGCAGCCGTGCTGTAAACGGACACAACACATTTACATCTTTGGATGAACAGAGAGAAGGAAGAAGGAGACTTAAATTTTTCCAGTCCATTTTATTACAAAATTTTTTTATGAAAAATTTATTACACATCAGAGGATCCTATTAACAGAATACTTAATTCTGTAATCCTATAAAAGATTGCTGGAAATTTTCTGATTAAATTTTATGCTAAGCAAACAAGTTAATATTTAAGAATTTTTGCAACAGATGATTAAAATGTTCTTAACGTATTCTATATTGCAGTTTAGTATAAATTTCATTATTACTCAACCCTCCATTACCCGCTGTTTGCATCTATGATGGGTCCAAAGATTTGTTGTAAGACTTGGATTTTGAAAATTTTTAAAAAGGCGTCGTCTATTTTTTTAAGTGAAGTACAATAACCCACCCCCCAGAAAAAAACCATTGTCTGTTGTTATGTTGTTACACTGTAAATTTCTCAACAGAAGTCTAATATTAACCTCGTGATTACCAAGTGTTTTCAGGTCTGTCCAGACGTTATCTCTCCATCGTCTTCTTGGTCTGCCTGGTGGTCTAAGAGCATTTATTATTATATGTTAGAGAGCAACTACAAAAAACGTGTGTGTGGCTGGTTTTATATTGAACCCTTTGTTATACATTTTAAAACAATTACCACAGTAAAGTTTAACATTTTTATCACTGAATGTTTATCGAGCAAGTATGCATTTTTTTAAAACGGCTACAACAAATTATTTAGTTTCTTCGGCTGATTATTGTGCATCACAAAATAAATTCTGATGAAGTGCTTTTATTTTCATAAATTACAGTTTATTGAGCAGTGTAGAACGTCAGACAATGACTGCAACAAAATACTTTTTCTTATCTCGTAAATTGGTAAATTATATGTAAAAATGACCACAACAAATTGAACCTTTTGTGCACTTAATTATCATAGTACAATGACTAATGAAATGTTTTAATTTTATAAACTGATTGTAAAATGGGATTGTAAAATGGGTAATTATATGTCAAAGAATGATATAACAGCTTTATTAAGACTTTTAAAAAAGCAATGTTTAATTGAGGCTTAATTCAGTGTAGAGCCATTTATTTATTCATCATCAGAATTAAATCTGGACAGCATGCTTTAAACTCTCTTAACTCATTCTGTTTGAGCAGTCGGAAGTCACAGCATTGCTACAACTGTGTTCTTTTTTCCTCAGTGTCTTTTACACTGAGCAGTCGGAAGTCACAGGATTGCTACAACTGTGTTCTTTTTTCCTGAGTGTCTTTTACACTGAGCAGTCGGAAGTCACAGGATTGCTACAACTGTGTTTTTTTTTCCTCAGTGTCTTTTACACTGAGCAGTCGGAAGTCACAGGTTTGCTACAACTGTGTTCTTTTTTCCTCAGTGTCTTTTACACTGAGCAGTCGGAAGTCACAGGATTGCTACAACTGTGTTCTTTTTTCCTGAGTGTCTTTTACACTGAGCAGTCGGAAGTCACAGGATTGCTACAACTGTGTTCTTTTTTCCTCAGTGTCTTTTACACTGAGCAGTCGGAAGTCACAGGATTGCTACAACTGTGTTTTTTTTCCCTCAGTGTCTTTTACACTGAGCAGTCGGAAGTCACAGGATTGCTACAACTGTGTTTTTTTTTCCTCAGTGTCTTTTACACTGAGCAGTCGGAAGTCACAGGATTGCTACAACTGTGTTCTTTTTTCCTCAGTGTCTTTTACACTGAGCAGTCGGAAGTCACAGGATTGCTACAACTGTGTTTTTTTTCCTCATTGTCTTTTACACTGAGCAGTCGGAAGTCACAGGATTGCTACAACTGTGTTCTTTTTTCCTGAGTGTCTTTTACACTGAGCAGTCGGAAGTCACAGGATTGCTACAACTGTGTTTTTTATCCTCAGTGTCTTTTACACTGAGCAGTCGGAAGTCACAGGATTGCTACAACTGAAAGTTGTGGGTTCGCTCCACAGCTGCGCCCTTCAGTTCATGAGTGCAATTTTTACTGAGGTCCCTGGGGATCGTCGTCGGAG